CCATGAGAACAAGTAACCAGTATATGTCATGCTTATGTAGGATTGTTAAGGAGTTCGTTATCTTGGCCTGCTCAGGCATCTTTGGTTTACCTCAGGGGTCGGCAGCCTTAAGCACTCAAAGAGCCACAAAGGTCCTAACTGGAAGCCCCCCTTTGAATTCTAGAGCCGACCGGAAGTCCGGTTCCCTCCCACCATAGAGTCTCCTCCTAGCGTAGCATCCCTTTTTCCTCTGCTGACCGGAAGTCGGTTCCCCCATCATAGAGTCTCCTCCTAGCACAGCATCCCTTTTTCCTCTACCTGTCCTAACCGAAAGCCCTTTCCATTGTGGTGCCGACCGCTGACAGGGAGCCTCAGCGGAGGGATGAAAGAGCCACATGCGGCTCCAGAGCCGCAGGTTGCCGACCCCTGGTTTACCTGCACAGGTGCTCTGCTGAATGAATGTTTTTCTGTGTACCTCCCCTCTCTTCCCAGGGAAGCAAAGGAGCAGAACAACCTTAGAAGAGAACCAGCAGAGATCCTATAAAAAGGACCCTATAAAGAGAGATCCTATACAGTATAACACAGAAGTGAGTAAACCCACTCACATTTTGTAAATATTTAAGTATATCATGACAACACTGAAGAAACCACACTTGACTACAATGTAAAGTAGTGAGCAGACAACTTGTGTAACAGTGTAAATGTGCTGTCCCCTCAAAATAACGCACAGCCATTCATGTCTAATTTACACTGTTATACAAGCTGTCTACTCACTACTATACATTGTAGCTTCAGTGTTGTCCCATGAAAAGGTATCCTTAAATATTTACAACATGTGAAAGGGTGTAGTCCTGTGATGTACTGGATATGCGCAAATCTCCAGCCTCGCGGGAAGCCATCGAGGTTCCAGTATGTTTTATTTTCTTTTTTTTTCAAATGCACTCGGTGTGGTGGCAGTTACGATTTATCGCGGGACACATAAGGGATGGTGGTATTTCTTTTATTTTCTTTGGCAGTTTCTGGCCAGTGACGTTTAGCAATTCAGTTGTGCCCTTGCAGGGAGGACTGGCGTCCTTTCAATAGGAACTCGTTCCCTGTAAAAATGTAAGGGACCCCTGCCTTTATAAACCGAGTAGATTTCCTTCTCTCTTCCCTTCTGAATTTGTGAAGTGGGTTGCAAGTTGGAAGCCACTTAGCTTCCAGCCTCCAGCACTGGAGTTACAATCTGCCAGTTCCCATCCACATTTCTTTACACCGAACATGCACACATCCCTACCACTTCTCCATCTCTTCATCCATCCCTGGAGGACAATATGGTTGGGCCTTGGTTGTGTGTGTTTGTGTTTTTTTTAACTTCCTTGAAGGTCTCACTATATTCTCGTTTAACGCCAAGCACTGCCTTGAGAGTGGTGGCGAATCAGAAATGCGGCAACATCTGAATGGTTTCTGTTTTGGAGGAGGTGTTGGTTTAGTTCAAGTTGGCTCTTCACCACTGATAGGGAAAGGGCGGCTGCTTCTGGGAAGGCCACGGTCCTCTTCCAAGTTAGGGGTGAAGGTTTCTCTCTTGAGCATCTATCTCTGCGTTGACTGGGTTGATTGATGAAGGGGCCTACAAGAACCAATTTCTCCAGAGCCTTCCTCACCCCAAGATGGAGGTATCATCTCTCCTCCTTGGGTTTTTCTCCAGCAAAATATGGGTGCTTTGCCCCGAGTCAGTTAGGATCTGCTGGCAAGAAGATTGCTTTCTTTTGAGGGGGAATTCCAGAATCTCAAGAAAGAAAATAGGATTGGAATTCAACTTCTAGGAAATTGTGGTGCCCGTTTTGAGGAAGGGAGATGGATCTTCAGCGGATCCAGAAATAGGAAGACTCCTAGGGAAGCTGCCCGTGATCTAAACACCCAACTCAACACTGCCCTCCTCATCTCGATTTGCTGCTGTAACATTCCAGTTTCCCTCTGCCTGGTTTTTTTTAAATGAAAATATTTGTAGTAATTCCTCTTTGAAATGATTCCAGGAGGAGAGGGGGAAATCGCTCACTCGGATTCTACCATCTTTTAATGCCTTAAGGTTGGGAACCAAAGCTGCTTTTCCTCCTATCTCATTTTCTCTCTCAACGAACATAGTATATATTGCAAATCTTATACCAAATGTTTAAAAGAATGTGCTTATATATTAATAAAAAAATCAGCTTTATTTAATCCTAGTTCACCCCATCTCCTCTTTTTCATACAACACTAGCTGATAACCCTGCACTGCCCGAGTATTTATTTATCCCAACCCTCATGTCACCGCAATTTATAATGTTGGATTTCCCCCCCCCCACCTTACTAGAGGGAGCCCCCTTGTGGAGTACTGTGAAGTTGTTACCATGGCAACTCCACAGCACTGTACAGTAGTAGCAATTTTAAGGCAGTACGGTAGAAGCCATTTTAAGGCACAACAGGGTGTATCTTAACAGAACACACACACACCAAGGGGTTTTAGGGGTATCTTACCCCCACACCCACCCACCCACCCAGCATTTGTTTCCAGAGGGTAAGTAATCTCTGTACCAAGTTTGGTTGAAATTGCTTGAGGCGTTCCAGATATACACAGAGAGAGAGAGCGATAGATAGATAGATAGATAGATAGATAGATAGATAGATAGATAGATAGATAGATAGATAGATAGATAGATAGATAGATAGGCCTAAAAGACTAAGTTTTGCAGTGTTTGTTTCTCTCTAACTGATTTTCAAGGTTACAAAAGTTTACAAAAATGTATTGCCTAATTTTGGGGCGGGACTAGCTCCTCCTTCACTTTTCAAGAGATGGGAGTTTTTGAACTTGTGGCGGAGAATGCTAGTCTGATTGTGTAAACCAATTTTATCATGTTTGCCTGGCTTTGCCAGATAGGATAATTAAACCGCATTTGGGGGGGGGGGGAGTTGTAGCAAGATTAGACATACATTACATGAAGATGTGATAAAGCCACTAATTTAAAACTGTTCACCTACCCAATGAAAAACCATCCGCGGAGAATTAGTAATACATTTATTGGACTTTTTTAAAAATAAATTTCACAATCGCTTCATTTTTAACATGGTTTTGGTAAGTGCTAGAGATGTGCAAAGTTTCATTCCAAGGGATTCTGCGTTCATCTTCCAGAGACTACGATTCTGGAATGATCTAAAAAAAAATGGGGGGGGGTGATTTTCATCCTCTCCAAAATAATCACGGTCTAGAAGCAAAATGAAATAATCTGGAATTCCTTGGAATGTTTCATTCCCGAGAAAGGAAATGTTCAACACTTTTACAATGGGTGCCAGCAACTTAAACACAGAGAATTTATAGAAGCAATGACCTCTTTGTTTCATAGCATTTCTTTACAGGGAGAAGATAAACTGGTTTAAAACTATCCAAGCAAATTAAAATTAAAAGTAAATTAAAATGGCAAAAACTTTTGTTTTACTGAGCTATTAAGTTGTTCGTCTCTCAATACAGAATGATAAGAGTTGGAAGGGACCTTGGAGGTCTTGTAGTCCAACCCCCTGCCTAGGCAGGCAACCCTACACCATTTCAGACAAATGGTTATCCGACATCTTCTTAAAAACTTCCAGTGTTGGAGCATTCACAACTTCTAGAGGCAAGTTGTTCCACTGATGAATTGTTCTAACTATCAGGAAATTTCTCCTCAGTTCTAAGTTGCTTCTCTCCCTGATTAGTTTCCACCCGTTGCTCCTTGTCCTGCCCTCAGGTGCCTTGGAGAATAGCTTGACTCCTTCTTCTTTGTGGCAACCCCTGAGATGTAGGAAGACTGCTATCATGTCTCCCCTAGTCCTTCTTTTCATTAAACTAGACATCCCCAGTTCCTGCAACCGTTCTTCCTATGTTTTAGCCTCCAGTCCCCTAATCCGCTTGGTTGCTCTTTTCTGCACTCTTTCT